AAGCTAAATACCGTAAAATCATTTTTCACGTGGGTGAAAATGTCACTCGACTACGCAAATCAGAGATCACTAAAAATAATGTTGCTTCAAAAACTATGTCTGACTGTAGTTTTCTCCGGCCCCCTCCCCAACCTGACCAGCGATGACATGTTTAGCCGTATGTCGTGGTTTAACCACTGGGTGTCCAGGTGGTGTTCTGACAACGACGTGGGCTACACAGATAACTGGAGTTCTTTCTGGGGAAAACCTGGTCTGATGCGGAGAGATGGCATCCATCCCACTTTGGACGGAGCCGCTCTTCTTTCTAGAAATATGGCTGATTTTGTTGATCCCCCAAATTATTGACAACCCAGGGTCCAGTCCAGGAAGCAGAGGTGTAGTCCTCCACCTCTCTGCTGCTTCTCCTCTGTTACCCACCCACACCCACATTGAAACAGTGTCAACTCGCCCACGGCTCAAATTAAAAAAACCAAAAATCAGCTCTAAAAACATAAACCATAAAAATCTGATTAAAATAAACACAGTTACTTTACCAGAGCAAAATCATCAAATCATTAAATGTGGATTATTGAACATCAGATCTGTTTCCTCTAAATCCCTGTTAGTTATTGAACTGATAACTGATCATCATATTGATTTATTGTGTCTGACAGAAACTTGGCTACAACAGGAGGATTTTGTTGGTATAAATGAATCCACTCCTGTTAATTATTTAAATGTTCATGTTCCTAGAACAACTGGCCGAGGTGGAGGAGTAGCTTCTATTTTTCAGTCAGGATTATTGATTAATGCCAAACCAGTTATTAGTTATGATTCTTTTGAATCACTGTCCCTCAGTCTTTCTCATCCAAAATGGAAATCAGAAAAGCCACTTTTACTAGTTGTTATATATCGTCCACCAGGAGCTTACTCTCAGTTTCTGTCTGAATTATCAGAATTATTAACTGACGTATTATTAAATACTGATAAAATCATCATAATGGGTGATTTCAATATTCATGTAGATGTTGAGAGTGATAGTTTAAGCATAGCCTTTAATAATTTAATAGAGTCCTTTGGTTTTACCCAAAACGTCCACACATCTACTCATTCTTATCATCACACTCTTGATTTAGTTCTGACCTATGGTGTAGAGATTAAGGACTTGGTAATAGTTCCTCAAAATCCTGTTCTGTCCGACCATTTTTTAATAACCTTTGAGTTTACATTAAATGACTACACAGTCACTGAGAGTAAATTTCATCTCAGCAGGTGCTTATCAGAAAATGCTGTAACCAAATTGAAACAATCTCTTCCATCAATGTTTTCCTCTGTCTTGCAGAGTAATGCATCAGAGAACAGAGACTTAGATCATCTAGTTGATCATCTTACAACTTCAATGCAAACTTCACTTGATAAAGTTGCTCCACTGAAAAAGAAAGTAATCAATCAGAGGAAACTGGCTCCTTGGTTCAAATCTGAGTTACGTACTTTAAAGCAGCATCTAGAAACCAGGAGAGAAAATTTTGCTCCATTGGTTTAGAGCTCATCATAACACAGACTCTGCACTGGTGAAAGTCACAAATGATATTCTCATGGCCTCAAACAATGGACTTGTGTCTCTACTGGTCCTGTTAGACCTCAGTGCTGCATTTGATACAGTTGATCACAATATTTTACTACAGAGGCTTGAATATGATGTTGGGATTACAGGAACAGCTCTAAAATGGTTTAAATCATATCTATCTGATAGGTTCCAGTTTGTAAATGTAAATAATAAATCTTTTTCATACACCAAAGTTAGTCATGGAGTTTCCCAGGTTCAGTGCTTACCATACCATACCGTAACATTTTATTTATAGAGCACTTAAAACAGCTACAAGGCCAACCAAAGTGCTGTACAGACAAAACAACAGGTAACACACAAAGCAAAATACAAAATGAGGTAAATCAGAATATAGACATAAAAACGATGCAGATAATGACGACAAACCAGTGTGGAGCATACAGGATCAAAACACAGATCATCTGGTGTTGAAAGCTACTGAATAGTAGTGAGTTTTTAAACGGGACTTGAAAACAGAGGGAGGGGGCCTGTCTGACAAGCAGAGGTAACTCATTCCAGAGTCTTGGTCCTGCTACAGAGAAGGCCCTGTCACCTCTGCACTTAAGACGAGTTCCTGGAACTGTGAGGAGCAACTGGTCTGCTGACCTCAGGGAGCGTGGTGGGACATACGGTTGTAGCAAATCAGAGAGATTGGGGGGGGGGGGGGGGACTGTTCAATGATTTGTAGACATACAGGAGTATTTTGAACTGGATTCGAAGGTGAACCAGTACTTGGACCAATACTCTTTACTTTATATATGCTTCCATTAGGTAAAGTTATTAAACAGCATGGGATAAATTTTCATTGTTATGCTGATGACACACAATTATATTTGTCCATTAAACCCAATGAATCCAATCAGCTACTTAGACTACAAGCATGTCTTAAAGACATAAAAACCTGGATGACCCTTAATTTTCTCCTGTTGAACAGACAAGACTGAGGTTTTGGTTTTTGGACCTGAGCACCTTAGGAATGAATGTTTCAGTCTTTCTCCCTCCTTAGATGCATTAATCTGTCCTCCAGCTCTAATGTTAAAAATCTTGGTGTTATTTTTGATCAGGACATGTCTTTTATCCCCCACATTAAAAACGTTACTAGAACCTCCTTCTTCCACCTGTGTAATATCACTAACATTAGAAACATCTGATCTAAAGATGATGCAGAA